CACCGCACTTGCCACCCTCGCCTGCCACAGCAGTGTGGTGTACTACACCCTTTGAGAACCACTGCTTTAAATCCTGGGTTTTGAGGGCAAAGCTTGCAAACCACAGTTTGCTGGTGCAAATGTATTAGAAAACTCTTGTTTGCATAAACTAGAAAAGGTGAATTGGAGGGAGTTCACAAATTTGTGGTTGGTTTGGCTATGGGAAAAACTAAGTGTTACATGTTAAAGTATGGTTCTTTTGCTAATACTGTAAATGGGCACATGTCTTCTTCAGCCAAACCTTACTTTTTGTTTCTTCGAGCACTGCACCAAAGCATTAGCATACATTGTGCTTTGCTTATATAGATGAACTGAAGCACTCTTCAGTTCCATTGAAATAAAAGACAGCCAATTGCTTCTGTCCCATTCACTTCAGTGAGTGTCTTTCCCTATAAAGGTAGGAGTTTCTAAAAACAAGATTATTAAAAGCAGAGAGATAGTTGTGGAGATTTTGCATGACTGTGTTGAACCATGTTGTATGGTTGACTGGGTTAGTGCATTCTCAGTGATGCAAAGATGAATTTTAAATGACTATATTGGCAAATAGAATGCATTTCCAGCAGTTTTACAAGTGCTGCCTCCTTTGTAGGTGATGGCAACAAAGCCATGCTATGCATATAATGCACCAATGAATGATGGTTTCTCATCAACATCATCTCCGAGGTCAGTGGCCCTTAGTAACCACAGTTGCCCATTGTTTGTTGTTTATTCTGCTATTTGACACAGCCACTCCTTAATCTCTACGTGTTTACAGTGAGAATGCATGCCTCACAATGTTGCTGGCAGCTAACCTTTGCCAGCACACTTAACTTAGAGACTTTTAATTTGACCTATGGCTTATGTCCATGGCATATTCACTTGATGATATTCTCATCCAAAAATGGAAATGATTGTATTCCCATTTTGAAAGGATGCCATTATAACTTGACTAGCTTTCTGTAATGTACATTTGCAAATGAGCTTTTGTTTTCGGTGGGGAAAGGAGTGAAAATGAATTGTGGAGCTATTTATTCTATAAGGTTAAGACATCACTGGTGTTGAATGCTAAACCTGCAGCAGGATCATGTGACCTGATAGGAATGGCTGCCGCTCAATGGCACAGCACGTACATTGCATTCCAAAAGCTCCAGGGTTTCCTGAAACCCTGGAAAGCTGCTGCAAGTCAGGGCTGGGGAACCTTTTGCAACCCAAGGGCTGCATTCCCCTCTGGGAACCTTGGGGGGACACATTTGTGGGATGTGTGACATAAGTGGGTGAAGCGGTGAATTAAAAATTTACCTTTGTGTAGTAGGCTACTTTTTGCACACTCATACACCCTTTTTTATCATCTGTCCAGGCAAGCAGGAGTCATTATCTGAGTTCAATGGCACATTTTGGCCAGGGAGAAGTACTCAGGGAGAGTCTGAAACAAGGCCAGTGAGGGGTATAGCCTGAGGATAGGGAGTGTGGCCTGACATAGAGGCTTGAAAGGCTAAAATTGGCCCCTGGGCCTGAGTCCCCATGCTCTAGAGAGGCAGTACAGAACAAGATGGATCAATGTTCCAATTTGGTATAGGGCAGCTTTCTATGTTTCCTATCTCTATCTGTTTCAAGGCACTAAAAGGCCTTTTCCAAAACAAATGATGACCAGTGCTGAATTAGCATGTTGGAAGATTCCATTCATTTTATTTGCTTATAATGAAAGGTTGTCACAAAGAGATAACCCAAAGAAACAATATAACAGTCGAACAACATAAGAAACTTAATACAAAATGTGAAGGGCTGCTGAGATAGTGGCAACTCTTAGGACATTTAACACAGCGCAGGATATACAGTTTGGAGTTATTTTAACAATACTGTATTATATCAGATGGTCGGCAAGACCAGAAACTGCTATCAACTGGACACATTTGTTTCTAATCTTAGAGGCAGTCACAGCAACAATAATTTTCTTGTAACACACATGCTCTTGGAACATACAACAAAGGTCTTTTCAAAACAAGGATTCCCCCATTTGTATGCAAACAAACAAGGAAAATCCTGGTCATAATCTGTTCCTAAGTGTTGTCTACAACACACAATACCAATACAGTGTCATTGTGAATGGTATTTTCAACCAACCCTTGCCCACTCACACTTTGCGGTGGGTTTATTGGGTTTTTAACATATTTAGCATCCAAATGGGTAGATGGCATTGTTTGAATTCATAAGGATGAAAAAGCTTTGTTCATTGATGAATGCCAGGTCTTGAAGGCATGCTTGTCAAGCACGATCAACTATTAAAACGCTCACACAATATTGGTATCACAGAAGTGTACCCAAAATCCATATCCCATCAAAAGTTGTGTCACAACTTTTACATTTTGCATTTACAATCTCAAGTGTTCTCGGTGACTCCATCAACAGAGGAAAGATTGAAAGTCTTGCAGTTGGTCCACAAAACTTTATATTCAGGTAATGTCTGCCCAACAGTCAAGAAGCTGTGTTTGCCTGGGCCTTAATATAGGAGAGGCTATGTGCAGCATTCAGGGGTGAACCTAGGGGTTGATTAGGTTGCCCCCCCACCAGGGGCACATGCCCAGGGGTGTGCAAAAATTTGCACCTCTCCATCTGGCTCAGAGTAGCTCGGAGCCTGGCTGTCCATGCACACCTAGGCTGTATTTCATTGCCAACATCTCCTTGCCAAGGGTGCATGGAACCATATGTGTGTGTGCTGATACAGCTTCTTGCCAAGGGCACAAGGGAGCTTAGGTATGCCTCTGGCATTGTTGCAGCTGACGTCCCATGAGGTACATATACAAGCCCAAAAAACTTATTTTTATTAGGTTGCCTAGTCCTCACACTTCCACTATGTATGTTAATTGTTCAACAGTGTTCACAGCAAAGATGTTTCATGCACAGATAACACAAATGGCTGTCTTACTACTGGAAAAGTTTATTATTGCAAATGCAGTTTGGGAGGAAATTCAGGAAGGTAGCATATTTTGGAATTAATTGATTTTTAGAATTCACCTCAATAAAAGAAAGAAAGGCTATACCTGATCAGGTTTTAATTTGATAATATTTATTTCTATCAAGCTTTCAGATTCTGGAATACCCTAAATAGTACATTACTTAAATGTTAGGAGCCCTTTTTGTTGCTATTAAATTGCGAAAATCACTGAAGATTTAATAGAAAGGAAGGATTTCTCCCCTCCCCCAGCCATGAACAAGAAGTAATTGAAAAATGTGAACAGTGATTAAGGCTGTATAGTTTGGCTATGAGCAAATATCAAAACAAAGATTGAAATTCTTCAATACCATTAACTAGTATTAACTAGAAGCCCCTTAATTCTTTGCTGCTGGGGAAATTCTTGCAAAGCATGATTTTTAAGAACCTACCATTTTACATGGAAATCAGAGACAAAGATGCCTAGCATTCTACTGGGGTGACCTCAATGGGTATTTCATAGAGATAACCAAATTTTCTTGAGTATCTGTTTTCAGACTTGCTTTTACGTGGAGCAACTAAGGAAATTGCATAATTTTTTTCTGTCCTTTGAGTCCTGGACATGAAGCACAGCTTAGTAGGTGCCATGTAAAAGCTCCCAAACACTGATTTTTAAGGTTCTGGGTAGAACTAGATGGTCACTGAAGTAGCTCACAGGGCAAAGCTCAGGGAAAGTCCTAAGCCTTGGGAGCAAGGGAGCTGTGCAGTTTCTGAGACTGCTGACCTGACTGAGCTAAATCATATTTAAATTGCTGTGCATATGTTCCTTATGCCCTTTCCCAAGCCTGTGTGGCCACAGAGAGTACTTGGGGGTTGTCACTAGTCAGCCCGCAAGGGGGGGGGGCAGGGGTTTACAATATTTAAAGGGTTTCTGCCTAAGCCATAGCTCAGTTAGTTTCCTGAGCCCACCAAGCCAAGGAAGGCAACCGACTGATGGTTAATTCTTTCTTGACAAACAACTTTTAAGGTGCACTTGATACACACGCACACATGCTGCTATTGCCCGCAGCTGGCCTTAAGCATTCCACTCATCTGATGGAGTGTTCGCACGCAACCTGAGACATCTTCTGTATAGAAGTCATAGCTGCTCTTCCTTCTTCTTTCTCCTTCCTGGTTCTAGGAAGGAACCCCCTGCAGGGCAGGGGGGGGGGATTCGACTGACTTGCCCCTCACCTGAACAGCCTTTTTCTGTGCTTCTGAACCATCCTGTGCCCCTACCTCTGCTCTCTGACTGCCCCAGCCTTTTATCTCCCCCGCCCTCCTGGCTTTTGCCTTGTAGGTGTTACCAAACCCCATAAATTACTGACGCCCTCTCCGGCCTACTTTCCTCTGCCACACACTCGTCAGAGTCCTGCCTGTCCCTGTCAGTTAGTCAGAGAGCTTCCTCTTGTTGGTCAGTCAGGTTACATCACATCTTTGTTGGCAGGCTCACCTGGCACCTTCATTATATATCTTTAGGTGCCAAGCAAAAATGTTTCTCAATAACCAGGCCTTTGGCTGATTAACATTCTATGTCCTTTAAATGTTAGGGGGGGTTATTGGTTTGTTATTGGTTTGTTTTTATTATGTATTTTGGGTTCTCATTTTGTATTTTCATGTTGCCCTATGATATTCAGATGAAGGTTGGTATACAAATTCAATAAAATAAATAAATAACTTTCCTGAACTGTTTTGTGTGGGTTCCCTCGTTTCCCAGAGTCTTTGCGTATAGATTTTGGAGTCATTGCACACTTTCTTCTAGTAGCCTAGATTTATAAATAGGTATGTAAGAAATCTTGAGGAGGCACAAAACAACAACAACAAAAAGAACACCTTACTGAAAAATTGAGGTGTCTGGGTTTTTTTGTCAATAGCAAAAGCAAAAATAAAACTAAAGACTGTTTTGGCTTAGGTCAGGTTTTTTTTAATGTTCAGTTGCTGTTATGTAATAACAGATATTTCTGAGGTCGTGGGGCTTCATTTATTCTTGCATTATTGTCTTGTTTCTTTACAGGAGTCAGAAAGTAATAAGTTATGTTCCTTATATTCCTTCCGAAATACTTCTACCTCACCACATAAGCCCGAAGAAGGAGGTCGTGACCGCAGCGAGCTAATGACCAGTGTTAATTTCGGAACTCCAGAACGCCGCAAAGGAAGCCTTGCCGATGTGGTGGACACACTGAAGCAGAAGAAACTCGAGGAAATGACCAGAACTGAACAGGAGGGTATGTACAGACATAACATATTTTGATTTCCTTCTTTTTAGTTTATTTCAGCCCTTAAGGTTATAATTGGTAAGGTGGATTTACACCTAAGACTTTAGTTCACCCATGTTTAAAGGTCTACTGCTAAATTTCATATGGAATGTTTGTATTCACCCCGAGTCAACACACACACACACACACACACACACACACACCACACACACCACTCATAGTGTGAAATAATGCATGAACTTATTTATAAATTTGTTTTGTACAACATATTAATTAGACTAGATTTTGTTTGAGAATTCTGTAAAATGGTATAAATGGTATGGTGGTACTTGTACAATACCTTCTTTTTATGATACCAGGTTTCATCTAGTAAGTAAGTGGATCTCAATTTATTTGCCATTCTGTGTTTAGCACTTTCAGGAAATTCTGATGCATGGCCAAAGTTGACAGGGTTTGGAAAAATGCAAGTGAGGGAAAGATATTGCCTCTGACAATTCCCCATCTCCCATTTGGGGATATGTGTTTCTTTGGTATATGAGACCTGCTTTTAAAATGGCACCAAGAGCCTCTTAAATTATGCTTCCATAAATTCAAAATGTTCTTGAATGAGGCTGAACTTTTGAAATGTTTGGTAGCTAGGTAGATAGCTTCCAACAGAGCCTTTGTATATTTATGTCACAATCCCAGTGCAAAGTTTTATATGCTTTTGTCTCGTTGGTTCAAGTAAGATTTAAGCATATGCAATTATTTGATGAAATTAATTCTGTGGCTTCTGCCCTTCATGAAAACTTCCCTATGTTTCAAAGGACAATTTGTGGTTCAACTGTGGGGCCTTGAAAGAAGAAGAAACAGTACCCTACTTAAGCGTAAACAGATATTTAGGTCTCCACTACATCTGCTTACATATTACACTGGAGCAAAAAAATTTGTGCTAAATTGGAAATTATTGCATGCAATCTATTTCAGATATAAATATATTTGTTAGAATTTTCCTTGGGATTAGTTTAGCGTGACAGAGTTTGAGATATGCCAGCCTTGCCAGATGTTAGTGCAGACTTCTTCAATCGGGTGCCCTCCAAATGTTTTGAGCGACAATTCCAATCAGCCCCAGCCAGCAGAGCCATGCAGGGTAGGGCTGATGTCAATTGTTGTCCAAAGCTTCTGGAGGGCACCAGATTAGGGGAGGTTCAAAATTCAGATAGTAGGCTCAGGCCCATGCATTTTCATGGCAGGGAAAGGAAAATGGGAAAAATCCAAAACGTCAGGGTTAAGCTCTAACACTGCATTTATAAATGGAGAAAAAACTATATGTAGAAGTAGCTCCATGACAGATTCTACATCCATTTCTTGGCTTGGTTTCTATATGACAAATGCAAAGTTAAATATGTTCTGTATAGGTGTCTTAAGCATCACTACAGTGATACAATGTCCCAGATTTTTCACAGCCATCTGTCTTCAGACTTAGAGGTTTGAAGTTCTCCCCCCCCCCCACCTCAAAATAAATTGTTGGCTTCAGTTGGATGGCTAGACTAGTTGGATGGAATCTATTTTAATTTTAATTTTGTTCTGGCTCACTTTTCACAGAAGTTTTTTTTTTAATGTTGTTGATCACATTGCAAGGTAGCTAATACTTGTTTCAAGAGTGTTTTGGATGCTCTGTTGTATAGCAGTGTGCATGCAAAGATCCGCAAGACCTGTGTTTCAGGGGTAAGCTTTATTTCATTCCCTCCCACACCCCTTAAAAAAATAATGAGCAGAACTACATTCATAGGATGCTCCTGCTGGAGGAAAGGGAATGTGTTTTTTTGCTCCTTCCTTTTGCAGACCCCTCTACCTCTTGAAAAGCTACTGTGAAGGGTTGGTGAACCCTCTACGATGGCATCTCCATCTCTCCCCCCCCCCGTATGTGATTGGTGAATCAGTGGAAATTGTCTCTTCCCTCTTTCTAGCAGTGAGTCTCTGCTGGATCTTAGCCCATTCTGCAGACAGAAGGACTCTTTCCATTCATGGAAGGGCAAGTTTGGATTCAAACCATTGTATTTATGTTGAGTTATTTTACATTCTTGGCTGGCTTTTGCAAATGAGGGATCTTAAGTGCCTGTTGCTAGAAATAAGCACTGAGAATGTACAATGAAAAATTAATTTACAACAGATAGTGTCAGCCCTGTGGTATAATACTACAGAATTTCAGACACTGAATATTAAGTCATTAAGACATGTTTCGGTTGCTCATGTTTTGGTTGCTCATTTGGTTACTGTTCAACAAGTATATGAAGCCTCTTGGACAGGCATAGGCAAACTCCGGCCCTCCAGATGTTTGTGGTCAGGGATGATGGGAGTTGTAGTCTCAAACATCTGGAGGGCCGGAGTTTGCTTATGCCTGCTCTCGGAGTTGTCATCAGGCAATTTGAGATGAGGTGCCATCAGTATACAGATGATAGCTGGCTCTGTTTCTTGTCATCTAAGTCAGGTGAAGCGGTGTAGGTGCTTGATTAGTGTCAGGAGGCATTTATGGGCTGTAATAGGACCAGAGGTGCCAAGTTGCGCCAAAGATTGAGGTCGCCCGTTGCATGTTGTGCTTGTGTGAGGTCACATGCCTTTGGTGCCATTAAAATAGTTTAAGCCATTAGTTTCAGTAATGTATCGTGTTTCCTTCAAGAACTAAAATACAGTGGTACCCCGCAAGACGAATGCCTCGCAAGACGGAAAACCCGCAAGACGAAAGGGTTTTCTGTTTTGGAGGCGCTTCGCAAGACGAATTTCCCTATGGGCTTGCATCGCAAGACGAAAGCCCATAGGGAAATGCTGGCGGTCGGGAGCAAAGACTTTCGCCCACAGCCGGCCTTCAGAAGAGGACCTCTTCTGAAGGCCGGCGGGGGGCAAAAGTCTTTGCTCCCCCCCGCCTGCCTTCCCCCCGCCTGCCCGGGGCGATCTTAAAATGCTGGCGGGCGGGAGCGATGCGTTCGCTGCCGACCCCCAGCATTTTAAAATCTCCAAGGGACAGCAGAGAAGTCTCTGTCCCGGGGAGATTTTAAAATGCTGGGGGTCGGGAGCGAAGCGTTAGCTGCTGACCCCCAGCATTTTAAAACCTCCCCGGGATATGGGGAGATTTTAAAATGCTGGGGGTCGGGAGCGAAGCGTTCGCTGCCGACCCCCAGCATTTTAAAATCTCCCCGTATCCCGGGGAGGTTTTAAAATGCTGGGGGTCGGGAGCGAAGCGCTGCCGACTCCCAGCATTTTAAAATCTCCCCGTGTCCCGGGAAGGTTTTAAAATGCTGGGGGTCGGGAGCGAAGCGTTAGCTGCTGACCCCCAGCATTTTAAAATCTCCCCGTGTCCCGGGAAGGTTTTAAAATGCTGGGGGTCGGGAGCGAAGCGTTAGCTGCTGACCCCCAGCATTTTAAAATCTCCCCGTGTCCCGGGAAGGTTTTAAAATGCTGTTCCGAAGGGGGGGGTGGGGACACCTGCCCCAGCCGCCCCACTTCGGAAAGCTGTTCCGAAGTGGGGAGGGGGGGCGGGGACATCTGCCCCAGCCGCCCCACTTCGGAAAGCTGTTCCGAAGTGGGGAGGGGGGGCGGGGACATCTGCCCCAGCCGCCCCACTTCGGAAAGCTGTCCTCCGCTGTCCGGGGCGATTTTAAAATGCCGCCCGCCAGCATTTTAAGATCGCCCCGGACAGCGGAGAAGTCCTCCGCTGTCCCAGGGTTTTTTAAAATGCTGGGGGTGGGAAGAAAAGCCCTTGTCCCCCCCCCCCAGCCTTCAGAAGAGGTCGGGGGACAGACTGTCCCCGGACCTGGTCTGAAGGCGGTTTCCCTAGGAACGCATTAATTGATTTTCAATGCATTCCTATGGGAAACCGTGAATCGCAAGACGAAAAAACCGCAAGACGAAGAGACTTGCGGAACGAATTAATTTCGTCTTGCGAGGCACCACTGTAACCAAGTTCTTAAAACTTTTGTTGTTGTTGCAAATAATGTTGTGCATGAATTCAGGTTGCAATCCATACTATATACTTTATTACAAATAAATAATTTATTCTTGGCTGTGATAGTTGCCAGTCATATCAGAGAAAATGTCTAGATGAGGTGAATGGGTCACATATTTTGGAAATGAACTTCTTTGATCCCTACATATTCGAACCTGTGGAACAGGAGTGGCAAACACACATTCTTAAATTGGTTTGCTGGTGGGTTTCTGCAAATAAAATTAAACTGACGTATTTCCCTCACATTTTGGGATATAAATTTCAGAGTAGCACATTGTGGAATAAGTGCTGGAAATTTAAGCTGTAGCTTGCCATCTTCTAGATTCATAAAACGGTATGCAAATACGGCCAATTATTGCAACTAGCATATGCAAATTAGCTGTGACCTTCTGTCTTACATTTCTGAAGTGGCTTTCACTGGTGAGCTAGTTGTCCACCCCTAGATCAATACAGCCTTCCGATCATCATTTACCTTTAATAAATATATCGGCTGTCATCCTGTGGAAAAACCTCTATGCGTAGCAATGTGCTTCACACAGATGTATCTTTACATCATTAGCTATCTTATATCATTCCTACTGTATTTAGGGTCTGGTGCCTTGCTTACTACAACTGGCAGTTCTGAACCAATGAATGCACATTTAAATACTTTAACATGTCTAAGTAAATCTATTTAATCAGAGTCCTTTGGCTTCTGGAAATAAGTTGTCTAATCAAAATTTCACTTGAGCAGCTGTGACTGAGGAGGTCAACAGGCCCTGCCTAAGAGAATATGGCCCAGCTGGTTAAATCTGGTTGTTGTAGTGATTTAAATGGTCAAGTGCTGCTTGTAATCCAGGACCGTCTGTCTGTAAAAGGAACATTGAGTACTTCAGCATAATGTACAGCTGTTTTAATCTGTCCTTAATAATAGCACTTCAGCCGGTATCATGCCCAACTCTGTCACCAAACCAGTGGAAACCATTAGAATAATATATAGGAAGCCTCCAGTTGTTGAAGCATAGCCTTCCATTCTTTTCCACCCAAG